TGTTAGTTTAAAAATATTAACATTTAACATTTTCTATAAAAAAAAAAAAAAAAAAATATGTTATTTTATATATAAATTGATTTATATTAATTTTTATTATAAGCATTTAAATTATATTTATTTTTTCCCATCTTATATAAATAATTGAATTAATATTTTAATTCATATTAGTACTTTTTTTTTTATAAAAATAGTAAATTAATTATTACTCTTTTTCTCATAGTTGACTTTTATTTTTAATAATTTAAAAACATTATTATATGTACCAATCTGTAATTATATGTTTCATATATTAATGGATAAATATTTCTATAGTAATGATTTTGTAAGCATTGATTTATAGTTTTTCATCTTTTCATTAAGTCATTAAAAATTAAATTAATGACGCATTAATTTCGCATAAATTATTATTCTAAATCAATTCACATGAAGAAATTTTAATACATGCAACCATTTAAGAAGCTATATCAATAGCTTATTTATATGTAATTAAAAATATCTATATCATCAAGTAACCAATTAACTTAATTCCCTAATATAAATATGAAATTATTGTTCTAATTACATACAAAGTATACGATAAAAAACAAAAAATAAAATAAAATAACTTTTGTATTTAAATACTAAATTATTATATGCGAAATTGTAAATATTTTTAAACTGTCTGTAATGATAAGTATAAATCGATTTTTAATTAAAATTATACACTTCTGCAATCCACTTAAATATAAATACAATACTTATTCTTATAAATATTGGCCAAAGCTATTTAGCTTCCTTAATTTAATGTCAATTATAATTATTATATATTTGTAAACCATCTATTAATAAATATTAATGAATTCAATTTGATATTAAAGATGTTATTATACTCATTAATAAGAGTCCCATTTTTTACATGATGTTATATTTTATATCAAATTTATTTCAAAATCAACGAGCAAATTATATTTAAAGATTACTAAATGCAGCTGCTACATCTGTCAAGTGTTTACAAAAAATTAACTTATACACATTAATATAATTATTTGCTAATACACACCAAATATAACACTCTCATAAGTAGGTAGGATGTACAGATTTCCACAACAATTTACGAATAGAATTTGGCAAGTCATATCAATTTGAAAATTACAACCAAATTCTGATTAACATGTCTGATCATTTTTCAGTGCATTCATGTCGCTGCAACTCTAGCTCACCGATTCCCGTCACCACAGCATCTCGGCCTGAGCGCTTCTAATTTGATCATCAAAGCGAATTCACGAGTGATTTTCAAGGAGACCACCAAGACTACATAACGAACGCCCTGTATTACGCGAATTGAGCGAAAACTCTAGTCAAACTCCATGTTGTTCCCGGTCATCCATCCGACTAATGATTAGAGTGCGCATCTACTCTAAATGCCAAAAGCTTTGTGGTTGTAGCTCGATACGACGGATATCATATCCGGCTCATTAGGATTTGCTGTGCTTCTAATCTTCGTTTTTCGTGTCGAATAATGGCATTTTTAGCAGCTGCGAGGCGTAAATTCCGAGTGACTTGATTGTACTCATCTTTTCATGACGCTCGACGTCATGTTCGCTTTCCACTGACGAGCACTATAACTTTATGAAAATTAATTAATTAACATAATATACTGAAAAAATAAAAAAAATAATAATAAATTAAAGTATTATTTGGTTTAGTATGTGTTAAAAAGGAAATTTATAATTTGAGAATTAGATGATAATCATGATAATCATGTCAAATAATTGACTCCGATGCTAAAATGTCAATATACATCTACCATTTTATATTCGAATTCACGCAATATCTTTTCAATAGATTGTTATTAAATTATTCAAAAGCTTATTTATAAAAAAAAAAAGTTTTCACGTTAAAAAAAAAAAGATAATTAATTAATTAATGTAAATTATAGTGATAATAGATTTGTATAAAAAGATAACTGATTAGATTGTTAAGGCACACAGACAATATAATGATATAATAAATAAAAATGACTTTGGTAAATAAAAAATACTGAAAATAACTTTAGTAAATAAAAAATATTAAAATTATTTCCAGATTTTCCAAATATGTATTTTAAAATTTGCTACACTTTACTTCTTATATATTTCACCCTATTTCTCATTATGTGATCAAAAACTTAGTCAATTCTATATCATTTTGAGTAAAATAACATTATATTATCATTGAATAGTAAAACAGAAAATAAATTTAATTACATTAAATTAAATATTTCCTACGTGTGGTTTTTTATGTAGTGATATAAAGGGAAATATAAACAAATTTTTAATTCATATATCCATTTAATTAAATTATCTTTCTATAAAATATTTTCTATATTAAGAGATAATCAAAATGTAATTATATTATTGAAAAAAACACAAATTTATAGACTAAGAGTCTCGAATAATACCGCAATAAATCATTAAAAACACTTGGGCTAATCTATAGTTTAACAACAATCACTTTCGAGTTTTTCTTTAATCACGAAATCTTTTTTCAGAAATTAAATCTATGTATACAGTTTTAATATTTACAATGTTATATTATAATTTTAATCACTGAAAATTTAATCATATATTTTATGAAATAAAGTTTCGTTTATAATAAACAATAGTAAAAAATTAAAAATAATACATAATTGTTTGACAAATCTGCCTAACTAAAAGAAATATGCAAAATCTTTAAGATAAAAGTATATTTTTAAATTATGTATTTTTAAATTATTATGTATTACGAATTTATTTAAATTATGTACTATATATATATATATATCTAAATTAATCCAAATGAGTAAATGTTACGAAAAATTATATTATACAAGATGCCCAAAATTTAAGAGAAAATTAGACTTTATTTCATTATTATTCAATAAATTCAAAATGTAATGATAAAAAATGAATAGAATATATCCTACAAAACAACTAGTAAAACAATATATTATAAATTTAACCAGCATATAAAAATAAAAAGCTTAGAATCTATAATAGAACAGCGAAAGTACTTTTTACATATTTAGTATACTTTTATCTTAAAATGGAATTACTGAAAAAGAGCACAAGAACGCCTTGCTTGACGACGATGTTTCTTTAGTCTTGATTACAGTGATGCAGAAGAGGAAGAAAGGGATGTACATTCAACACATGTGATCTCAGACGGAGAATTACGAGCGTACAACATATTTGACGTTTATTTTACAAGTAACGGGATAATATATCACCATCATTTTCACATCAGACAATAACACTTTCACGCTTTTATTTTTCCTTTCGGAAATGGAATATGATAGAACTGACATTCTTTTCAATTTATCGCATTGTTATAAGTATATATAAGCAAATCTGTTTTCCGATGAAAGTTCTTTCTTTGGTATCGTGCAATGTATCAAGTCTTTGATTATTATCGTACATTGGAACGCGTATTTTACAAAAACCTTTTTTGCAAGGCCATTGCATTATATTGTATCTATATTATATGTTATTATGTTCAGTTTGAAGCGTCAAATTTTTGATAATTTATTTTCAATTAATTTACAAATTATTTTAAAGTATTCTGAAAATATTATTATTATTATTACTATTATTATTATTATTATTATTATTACTGTTTTCTATCATTCGAAACAATTCATTACATTATGTTTATTCAAATACATTTTTTCGTCAGATATATTCTTTCAATTTTCGTATTTCCGAATTAGTCGTAGCTAATCACTTACAGTGCAAAATAATTACTAAAATTCAAATTTTATTATTAATTTGTTTAAATTTTGAAAGACTTTAAATAATAATGCTGTACAATAATTTGTACTTATTATTACTTAATATTAATGTTTAATATTAATCTAAGTACTAGTTGAGCTTGAAAATATTTTTGAAAAAAGGTTTATTTCAAATATTATAACATCTCAATATAATATTTGTATTTGATTTTATCAATTTAAAAAAAATAACTTGAAAATTAAAGCCCCTTCTATATTATGTAAACTTTAAAAATAAAAACGAACTATTTCAAAGTAATATATACACGAATATGTATGTATGTTTCTATATATATATGTGTGTGTGTGCGTGTACGCGCGAGCATGTGTATGTATATGTATGTATATATGTAGGTATGTATGTATTTACTTTGAAAAAAAAAAATTTTTGGAAAAATGACAATTGCTAAGCTATATCATACTTTTACATGTATGTATAATACTTTTATACTACAATCAAAACATATAAAAAGCGGTCTTACATAAATGTTACTTATAGTTATAAAAAGTTTTATAATAGTAGTACGAAAACTCTTGTTAAGTAACTTATAAATAATGTATAACTAAATTATATATAAGTAAGTTATAAATAATATCTAATTTCGTTCGTTTTTAAAGCTGTAAATAAATTAAAAGTTTGTTTTATTTTGTATATATTTTTTAATGTATACAAAAAATATTGCCATGTACTAGGAATTAATTTAATCAAAAAGGAATATTTAGAAAATTGTAAAATTGTATTTTCCATTTATAATAATTCTAAACCTCTATTAAAATGATTCAATATAATATTAATTTTATACCATTTAAATAATTAAGGTTATACATTTTAACTGTTGATCACATTTTATTATAAAGAAATATTTCTTGTTAAACCCCAAAATATTTTGAATATAATTATTGTAAGCATAACCGCATGTTAATTATAAACATAAATATAGGATTCTAAAATCTTCTTGCTTTCCCTTTATATTGCTTTATATACGTATATATATATATATATATATGTATACATGCATGTATGTATGTATATATTTGAATCTAAATTGGAAATTTAATTTAATCCAATTACAATAATTCTTAGTGAAATTGTAAATTTTACTAAACAATCCTTTTCTCAAGTTCAATATTTACAATGACTCGTCAACATCATCCGCTGACACTGTTAACATATTTTCTTACAATTTTCAATAATAGTCCAAGGTCAAAAGTCAAAAAAATCAGCACCACATTGATTAAAAATCACCCTTCAGAACTAGGCCATTTGGGCACGACTACGCGTACCGCTTGGATTCGCTACGCGTGCGGGTGTGCGTGCGAATGTCCCGATCCAGCAGCTGCAGCAGCAACCTGATTTAATCCCAAACCGGCACTAGATGTAGGAGTAACAGCACCGGGTTGGGGGGTCGACACCCCTACCGAAACCGGTGTTGTGGGGGTTAGATGATGCCCGAAGAAGCTAGGTCCCGAAGGTGCATAAGGTGGTGCTGGGTGATGATAATAACCTGGCGGCGGAGGTGGTGGCGGTGCATGATGAACGTGAGTGTGCGGATGAGCATGTGGATGAGCGTGACCGTGCGGATGGGTGGCGAAAAGGAAGGCGGGCCCGTAAGGAGTGGGATGAGGTGGAGTCGTTGGGACAGTTGGACTGTTTACGTCTAATCCAGGATTCTGCTTCTTCCATTTGGTTCTTCGATTTTGAAACCATATCTTAACTTGTGTTTCAGTAAGCGACAAAGATAGAGCGAGATTAAGCCTCTCACAAACTGACAGGTATCTCGTAGTTTTAAATTTATTTTCAAGAGCTACGAGCTGCTCGTAAGTAAATGCAGTTCGTGCTCTCCGTGGCTTTCCGCCGCCATTACTTCCATTACTACCTCCACTACTATTACCTCCGCCACCGTTACCATTGCTTTGACCGGATTGACAATTTTGATTCTGACCACTGGACGAACTGGACGATAAGGATCCTGACTGGCGCTTCTTATTATTATTATTATTATTGTTGTTGTTGTTGTTGTTGTTGTTGTTGTTGTTGTTGTTGTTATTGATGTTGTTGTTATTACTGCTGTTGCCATTTCCACTACAATTTGATGGTGTAGAAGCGTTACTATCATGAACGAGACTTGAGCCGTCATTGTCGTGTTGATCAGATGTACTGGTATGCATATCAACATCATCATCCTCATCGTCTTCTAAGCCTTCGTCGTCCATGTCCATATCCAGATGATCAGGCGTGCCAGCCTCGTCTTCTTGACCACTGCCGTTTGCAAATTCACCTCGTGAATCACCATCTGAAAATGTATGTTCATGTATTTTTACACCAATATATATATATATATATATATATTTATGTGTTAACTTTTATAAGCTTAGATTTACTAATACGTAATGAATTTACGTACATAATTTGTTCCTTTAATTTAAAGAATTCATTCTTATCGAATATAATTAGCAAAGCTCATTTATTAAAATAGCATTTTCATTTTTAATATAAAAGTCATTTTAAAATTTTTATTCTATTTATCGCAGACTTAAATATAGGCTTAAAAATTTTTTATTTTGTGTCATAGGTTCGTTATTACAGAAATAATTATTAATATTTTCTAATAATATATGTAGTTTATATTTATTCCTTTGGAATATTAAAACTTATTTTACTGTATTTATACGCATAATTACATTATATTCTAATATTAAATAGAAAATAAATTCTTGCATATTAAATGAATTACATGTTTTTGTTCATTATAATGAGTATTAAAGAATCAATTTCCGAAACATCAAAGTTTAATAAAAAGTATACGATTATATAAAAAATGCATATAATGCTCATTTCAAGCTTAAAATTATCAAATAAATATTTAAATTTTGTTTTATATTTAGTGTTCATGATCAAATTACGTAAATTAATATTTAAGAATAAGATAATAAAGTTGTCTTATTATATTATTGTATGAATTTGGAAAAATTACTTTTATTTGAAATGAGAATAAATTTTATTAAGCTATTGTTAGTTAAATGTTATATAAGACTAGACCGGTCAAACATTAACACACATAGTCGTCTATAAAACATCTATTCTATATTTTAAAAAACATTTGCAATCATTGATACTTGCAATGGTAAAACAATTAATGTTGTTTTGATTTGAGAAAAATGACTAAATAATCATTTTTCAAATATTATAAAATGGGATTATAAATGGGAATGATATTCTTTAAAATTCAAGTCAGATATTTAAGTTAATTATTTAGTAGGCCTAACCTTTAATATATAATAGTCATTATTTAAATATTTTTTAGTATATAAGTAGACTAACTATAGATATCTGTCTACATCGTTACATTTACATAAAAGTCTAAATTTAATAAAAAAAAAAATGCATTTTATGTCTTTAATTGAATATGAAAGTCGTATATTCTACTTAATAATGAATATCGAATGCGTGGAGAGCTCCATACGATATTCAATAAATAAATTTATTTCATTTTCCGTCCCACGTACACTTTCCACAAAACAAAACGATCTATCGTAACTTCAGCGACCGTCTAGTCCATCTCCCTCTCGCCGTTCCTTTTACTCCTTCAGTGAACTAAAGGATATCGTAGATTCAATCAACGCACAGATGTCCCGGGGACAGATATTCCCTGGCTCGAGGCTGGAGGAGACGAGGGTGAGACGTGCAGGATATCCTGGGACACCGCGACACACACGCTCAGAAAGAGAAGAATCGATGGAGAGAAGCAGGACAACGATAGCGACGCGCCAGTGCGACAAAGATGGGAAAATCCAATGGTTAAAAAACGAAAGAAAAGAGTCTGGGTGGGATGCAGATTATCCGAATTGCCATGCGGCCCCTCCCGCACCCAGCACTCGAGTACAAAAGCGAATGGACGAGCAGGAGGAACGCCATGGATCGGCAGAAGGTTTACGCGGTAATGGGATTTGTATCTCGTTAACGTGCGATAGTTCTTTCGCCACGCTATGTATGCACCAATGGAACGAGGCTTTTTATTTATCTCTGTCTTTCGTTTGTTTCTGAATATAATCGACGTTTTCTTCAACTGCTTCAGAAAACTTTTCCGTGCCGTTAATTGCACAATGATTTTATTTAATTAAATTATTTAACATGCTTCTTTTCAAATCAAGATTTGAGATTATGTTGTGACATATTGTGAGAAACGATTTAACAAAAATTTATTGAATTTTAGCACAGAAATAAGCTTCACTCTTGTGCTTATCGTTCAAAAAATTATGCTTTAACTTCGTATCTCATTCAGCGGAATTATTTAAAAATAATATTTTTAGTAATATGATGATAATTTGTGCTTAATTAATATGAAACGGATATTGAATGAAAATTGCCGATACTCCTAATTTGTGCAAATTGATTGTCTTTATCTTTATTTGATGACGAACTTTTTTTACATTATTTCGATACTTTGATAAATTCATTTTTGTTAATTTCATTTCTATGCGCGTATATTGTAAATTTATAAAAAAATTTCAAAAATCAGAATGTGGTGCAATGAGGTGATATGCAATGTGGATCTAGGATGGGCCGTAAATATAAGGAAATAGGGGGGGGATCTCGTTTAATTCATTCAACTTATTATTAAAGTAAAACATGAATAAATTACTGCAATGTCTGATAAATCGTTCTTTTAGTGCCGAAGCTGTTAAGTATCGTTGAATTGTTATTTTGCATTTATCCTTATTAAATCCAATGATAAAAATATTTTAAGAGATGGTTATTTGATTTACTTATAATATAATTTATAATTCCACTTTTTTACTCCCCCTGTATTAAATTGCACGAATTTGTCTTTCCTTCAGATATGATTTGTGATTAAGTATCTCATGGTAAGCAGTAAGATTTTCTCTCTACGTTAACCTCTTACCATGACAGAATTTATACCTTGATAAGATTACACGTTGGTCCAATTACGCCTCCGAGCTATGTAACTAATTCTAGCTGTTCTTAATATTACATCACAACGAAAATTTATTATAAAATAAATTATGTGATAAAAGAAAAAGTATCGAAAGATGAGATCTTCGAATTATACAGCTCATAAATTATTTTAGTATTAATTCAATTTTTTTTAAAGGTTTTGTTTATTAATGGTTTTATTTATTTATATAATCAGTTAAAATTATATCGTTGAGTTTGATTGAAAAATAAATTTTCTTTACTTATTAATAAATTTCAATAACTTCATTCTAGCTGGTTATTTTCTCATTTTTATTTAAAGTCCATATTCTAATGGGAAAAATTCTAAAAAGACTGTTTAGAAAATTATTAATGTAGCTCAAAGAATTAAATGTACTGTATATACAAAAATTTATTATATAATAAGACAACGAATATAATAATTTACTTGAAATTATATTATTTTAATTACAAATATTAAAATATACGTTCATTATATTAAAAATTAGACATACAAGTAGAGTTTAAATTTTTGGAAAAAAAAAATATACAGTTAAGGAATGATCAAATTTATTAATTATAACAGAATAAGGTAATTTTTATCTGAATATAATAGTACTATGAGAAATAACTCATCAAAGAGCATTTTTTAATAGAAAACTATGGTTATTTTTAATTAACTAACAAACAGACTTTATAATATTCACAAACCTATTGATATTGTTCATGTTTGATTTTTCTAAATTATTCAAATCAACGGTGCAATTTAACATAATATTAAAGCCATTTGCTTTATGAAATAATTCTTGATAATAAATATTTATATGTCAATTTGAATACTCAAAATTAATTGATATTAAGATGAGTTCTAAAGATGAGAAAATTTAATGGTATTTATTATTTCGTAATAAATTTTTGTAATAAAGATGAATTAATATGATACTATTTTTAACTTCCGTTTCAATAATTAATATCATTCTCCGATCATTCTTTTTTTCCCATCTTTTTTCCGTTCAATAAAATTCCTTAAATAGCTGAAAAAATTCTGCCGCAACGTGTTATGATTGGTGACAAAAATCCGACAAGCTTCGTTCTTTATATAATAATTAAGAGAAGATGTATTTACGTAGTGACTGTGACGAGTACATAGTCGCGGAAAGTTTCAGCATCAATGACTCGGGCAAAGCCTCGATATACTTTGATCCCTTAATCGACGAATTCGCGAACAGTTCAACGTGTTTGTACGCGGTAAACGATTTTCCTTTTTGAGTGTCTCTATAGCAAGCGACCCATTGTCGTTTGCCCCTCGTTAGTGCGCCAACGTGTGTAGGCCACGAAAGACGTTCCCGCCATCCTCCTGGGATATCGACTTTATTTGAATGTCCGGGTAAATAAGGAGCCTTGGGATTTCCATGTTATATGCCCACGCGTGGACTTGTAGTTTTCTCGTGCACTATCGCACATCGAATGTATTCCCTAACAGTGTTTAACGGGTTAATCTAAATAATATCTCGTATAACATGACACTCCTTATAAAAACGACTTTCATATTATACCGCAGATCTTGAAGATATAACTTTATGAAATATATGATTTCTATACTTCTTAATGTTTTTAATATCGTGTAACATGAGACTACAATTAATATATATTTAGCTGTGTTTAAACATTTTAAATTAACTTTTTCTCCAATATTATTCAATGTAACTGTGGAGTTTTTTTTTTTTTTTTTGTTTTTTTTGGTTGATTAATAAAAATAGGTAAAATTATAAATTGTATCGTTATGGCTTTATAATACACTCTATAAATTATCCATTGACGTGTTCAAGTAACAACGATCTCATTAATCTTGGCGTAACATCAGAAACGTGATTGAACATAATAAAGCTAGTCACGTGTCAGGTAATTCGAGGATTTCTCGGAGAACTCAGTCCTCGCCTACATTTGAAGCGAAGGTAATTTTATGTGAGAGAAACAGATAATTATCTCTTTCTTACATAATATTTTATTTTTATGGTTAGTCGACCAAGTCACGATAAATACGATGAAAATTATTTTCTTTAATGCTTTTATTAAATTAATATCTGATTCTCTAAAATGGCATAAAATATTTATATAATAAAAGTAATTTCAACTACATTTAAGGCATAGCATAATTTATGTTTAAATTGCTTTCAATTTATTTTAAAAAGAATAAATTAAATTAATTGGCTTGATTGATTTTAATTTTTAATATTCTAGCAATTATAAAGCTGTCAAATAAATAATTCTTCTATCTCTAGCGAAAGGACAGGCACACATAAATTTGCAAAGAATATAAATCAATTAACAATATACAATAACAATCAGTTAACAATG